TTTATTTTCATATTGACATTCCATTGGATGGACATAACTTATGTCAACATTTGATAGGTCTATCAATGACTGAACATTGATACAGTTGAAGTCGGAAATTTACATACACTTAGGTTGGAGTCATTAAAACTATTTTTTCAACCACTCCACACATTTCTTGTTAACAAACTATAGTTTTGGCAAGTCGGTTAGGACATCTACTTTGTGCATGACGCAATACATTTTTCCAACAATTGTTTACAGATTATTTCACTTATAATTCACTGTATCACAATTCCAGTGGGTCAGAAGTTTACATACACTAAGTTGACTGTGCCTTTAAACAGCTTGGAAAGTTCCAGAAAATGATGTCATGGCTTTAGAAGCTTCTGATAGGCTAATTGACATCATTTGAGTCAATTAGAGGTGTACGTGTGGATGTATTTCAAGGCCTACCTTCAAACTCAGTGCCTCTTTGCTTGACATCATAAGGAAAATAAAAAAAAATCAGCCAAGACCTCAGAAAAAAATGTGTAGACCTCCACAAGTCTGGTTCATCCTTGGGAGCAATTTCCAAACGCCTGAAGGTACCACGTTCATCTGTACAAACAATAGTACGCAAGTATAAACACCATGGGTCCACGCAGCCGTCATACCGCTCAGGAAGGAGACGCGTTCTGTCTCCTAGAGATGAACGTACTTTGGTGCGAAAAGTGCAAATCAATCTCAGAACAACAGCAAAGGACCTTGTGAAAATGCTGGAGGAAACAGGTACAAAAGTATCTATATCCACAGTAAAATGAGTCCTATATCGACATAACCTGAAAGGCCGCTCAGCAAGGAAGAAGCCACTGCTCCAAAACTGCCATAAAAAAACCAGACTACGGTTTGCAACTGCACATGGGGACAAAGATCGTACTTTTTGGAGAAATGTCCTCTGGTCTGATGAAACTGTTTGGCCATAATGACCATCGTTATGTTTGGAGGAAAAAGGGGGTAGCTTGCAAGCCGAAGAACACCATCCCAACCGTGAAGCACGGGGGTGGCAGCATCATGCTGTGGGGGTGCTTTGCTGCAGGAGGGACTGGTGCACCTCACAAAATAGATGGCATCATGAGGAAGGAGAATTATGTGGATATATTGAAGCAACATCTCAAGACATCAGTCAGGAAGTTAAAGCTTGGTCGCAAATTGGTCTTCCAAATGCACAATGACCCCAAGCATACTTCCAAAGTTGTGGCAAAATGCCTTAAGGACAACAAAGTCAAGGTATTGGAGTGGCCATCACAAAGCCCTGACCTCAATCCTATAGAACATTTGTGGGCAGAACTGAAAAAGCGTGTGCGAGCAAGGAGGCCTAGAAATCTGACTCAGTTACACCAGCTCTGTCAGGAGGAATGAGCCAAAATTCACCCAACTTTATTGTGGGAAGCTTGTGGAAGGCTACCCGAAACATTTGACCCAAGTTAAACAATTTAAAGGCAATGATACCAAATACTAATTGAGTGTATGTAAACTTCTGACCCACTGGGAATGTGATGAAAGAAATAAAAGCTGAAATAAATCATTCTATCTACTATTATTTCACATTCTTAAAATAAAATGGTGAACCTGACTGACCTAAGACAGGGACTTTTTACTAGGATTAAATGTCAGGAATTGTGAAAAACTGAGTTTAAATATATTTGGCTAAGGTTTATGTAAACTTCCAACTTCAACTGTACATCATTGAGTTGTTTCTGACAAAGCCCTCCACGATGGGCCACAAGCATTCCTAGATCCAGAGAAAGTGAATCTCCCCGTTTTCACCATGGACTACCCTTGGATACAGGGGCCATTTGAAATCACCCTCTAGTGCTGCTTGCAACATTGATAAAAATGTGTAAGGTTAGTTTTAAATATTATGAAAACTATTGTACTGTAAACACACACAAACATTTGTTTATGAAACCTTAACAATGAGATATGAGACAACTGATGGATGACCTGATCTGTTTAAACTGTATGGAACTAAATGTAATACACATGTACAGTGTATGTAAATATTATACACAGTGACATACATATTGCAACCTCGGTGTCTGGGGTCTGGTCGTCAGATCACCAGAGCCAGGAAAGATCCAGACCCTTCCCCACGTTGTAAGCTCTCTGAGAGGGGTGACCCTGGTCTCAGGGACCAGGAGCCTGGTTAAGAGGTTCTGGATACTCCTCCTCTGCTTCCACCTCCAGGCTGGGTTCCAGAGCATCAGGACACCAGGGGGCCAGGGACACAGAACCCCCTCCTAAGGCAGTCTTCCAGGGGCTCTCACACTCCTCCCACCCCGTGAGAACCAAAGCACCGGAGGAGAAAGACTGGGGCCAGGTGAAGGAGGAGCAGGCCAGCTGACCAGGCAGGGTGTTACAGTTTGGACATATCATATTATAGTGCAGGATGAACATGCTCTCTGAACAGATCAGGGACCGTAGTGAGTCAAAAACTATGAACCTCTATGATAGATAGTTTGACATCCTCTCATTTATAAAACCACTTTAAAATATCTGTAAAATGTTTGTATTAATATTTGTATTTTTAGTGTAATGGGTATAATAATATGAAAATATATTGGATATTTAAGATGTGCCTTCAGAAAGTATTCACACCCCTTGACCTTTTCCACATTTTGCTATGTTACAGCCTGAATTTAAAATGGATTAAATTGAGATTTTGTGTCACTGTAATACCCCTGTATTGTCAAAGTGGAGTTATGTTTATAGATATTTTTAAAAATTAATTAAAAATGAAAAGCTGAAATGTCTTGAGTCATTAAGTATTCAACCCCTTTGTTATGTCAAGCCTAAATAAGTTCATGAGTAAATATTTGCTTAACCAGTCACATAATAAGTTGCATGGACTCACACTGTATGCAATAATTGTGTTTAACATGATTTATGAACGCCATGCTCAGTTGGTAGAGCATGGCGTTTGCAACGCCAGGGTTGTGGGTTCGATTCCCATGGGGTATGAAAAAAATTTAAAAAAGAATAATGTATGCACTAACTGTAAGTCGCTCTGGATAAGAGCGTCTGCTAAATGACGTAAATGTAAATGTAAATGTCTGTACCCCACACATGCAATTATCTGTAAGGTCCTTCAGTCGTGCAGTGAATTACAAACACAGATTCAACCACAAAGACCAGGGAGGTTTTCCAATGGCTCGCAAAGAAGGGCACCTATTGGTAGATGTGTGAAAAAAAAAGCAGACATTGAATATCCCTTTGAGCTTGGTGAAGTTATTCATTACACTTTGGATGGTATATCAATACACCCAGTCACTACAAAGATACAGGCGTCCTTCCTAACAGTTGCCAGAGAGGAAGGAAACCGCTCAGGGATTTCACCCCGAGGCCAATGGTGTCTTTAAAACAGTTACAGAGTTTAATGGCTGTGATAGGAGAAAACTGAGGATGGATCAACAACATTGTAGTTACATGCATCCTGCTTCAATAAGGCACTAAAGTAAAATTGCAAAAAATGTGGCAAAGAAATTAACTTTATGTCCTGAATACAAAGCGTTATGTTTGGGGGAAATCCTACACAACACATCACTGAGTTACACTACAGAGTTTTGTAGGATAAAAATACATGGAATATAGCTAAGCTTAGGTAAAATCCTAGAGGAAAGCCTGGTTCAGTCTGCTTTCCAACAGACACTGGGAGACAAATTCACCTTTCAGCAGGACAATAACTTAAAACACAAGGCCAAATATACACTGGAGTTGCTTACCAAGACGACATTGAATGTTCCTGAGTGGCCTAGTTACAGTTTCAACTGAATTTGAAAAGAATAATGTGCAAATATTGTACAATCCAGGTGTGCAAAGCTCTTACCCAGAAATACAGCTGTAATCACTGCCAAAGGTGTTTCTAACATGTATTGACTCAGGAGTGTGAATACTTACGTACATTTGATATTTCTGTAATTCATTTTCAATAAATGTGCAAGAATTTCTAAAAACATGTTACTTTGTCATTATGGGGTACTGTGTGAGAAAAAAAATTGATTGAATCCATTTTGAATTCAGGCTATAACACAACAAAATGTGGAATAAATCAAAGGGTGTGAATACTTGCTGAATACTGTATACAGTATGCACTGTAAATGTATCTCCATCATGTTTTTTTCTATTTTGAAAAATGAACGCTTTATAAGACATTTATTCATTTTTGTTGAATTGTGGGGACAAAAGCAGTTGCTACAAAACTCAGATAAAGGATTCCATCAGAGGTCTGAATGCCAGACGGTAGACGTTTCACTTTTGACTACAACACACCCCCTTCTATTTCTATGTGTATAAAAACATTGTAACAGTATCACTGGACGTCTCACACTCATGACGACAGTGTTTATTTCTATACCATCTCTCTCTCTCTCTCTCTCTCTCTCTCTCTCTCTCTCTCTCTCTCTCTCTCTCTCTCTCTCTCTCTCTCTCTCTCTCTCTCTCTCTCTCTCTCTCTCTCTCTCTCACACACACACACACACACACACACACACACACACACACACACACACACACACACACACACACACACACACACACACACACACCACACACACACACACACACACAGGTCTCTCCACAACATCTGACTGGTGAGTGAGAGTTGCTGGGGAATACAGGGAGCATAAATAACCAGCTCCTGTTTAGAAGCCTCCATGTCAAACACGATACTTCCGATTGGATGGTCATTGGACGGTTAAATTTGCTCTGCCCCTGGCCACACCCCTATGACAAAGTATGTGAGGATCTACTAATGGAAATCAAGGGGATAGGTCTGCTACAGTACGCAGGATAGTACGACGGACAGACCGAGCGACCACCCGACACACTGATAGACTGACAAACCTTCACAATTGACTGACCGACTGACAGACAGACAGACAGACAGACAGACAGACAGACAGACAGACAGACAGACAGACAGACAGACAGACAGACAGACAGACAGACAGACAGACAGACAGACAGACAGACAGACAGACAGACAGACAGACAGACAGACAGGCCTCACTAGTGGCATGTCTCCTGCTGAGAGGTTGAGTGTGCTCCTCTTCCTAGCTGGGTTCTTCGGGGGCTTGGGGGCCCTGTCCCTGATGCTCTCCTTTGGGACAGACTACTGGCTGCTGGCTTTGGAGACCTGTGGCCCTGGGGGGGCCTCAGAGGCCTGGGAGGCTGGGGCCTTCAGACCTGGGAAGGAGGAGATGGAGGATCAGGACACTGTGACATTCTTCCACCAGGGCCTCTTCTGGAGGTGCTCCTTCAGGGGGAGGAGAGAGGAGGACACGGTGTGGCACTTCTGGATCAGTAAGTAGGAGAGGTATTTTCACAGATTTATGAAATATAAATATTGTAGCGGACAATATTAATTGATGCATGCCAAGAATGACCTGAACTGTAATATAAAAGTACAATGTTTTTTTCCCCAAAGCCAATCAACCACACCAAAAGACCTGTGTGCCCACCTACCTATTCCCATTTTCTGCTTCTGAGCCAACCACGGATTACCAGGCACCAGACGCTGCAGTTTACAGGGCCTTCTGGAGCGTCTTCCTTCTAGTGGGTGTGGTCAATGTTATGATTGGTGGGTTTGTCATCATCTGTGCCTCTCCATTGGCCAGCCACAGGCTCTACAAAGTAGGCGGGGCACTCTTGCTCACTGGAGGTGAGTTATCGGTGGTGTTCCTCTGCTGACGCATGCCAGATCTTACAACGCCTGGATAGGTCTTTTTACGTATCAGCTAACCACATCATATGTTATAGCAATCTGGTGCCCGGCGGCACAGTTGATGACGTGGCATGCAAACGTTGGTTGATGTATGCATCGTCTGATCAGAGCAGGGGAACACGACCATCATGAGTTGCTAGCCATGGTTGGGTCCACTCAACTTTACATGAAGCTCAAAGTTAAATCAGGAGACACATTTAAGTTCTATGAAGTTTAACTGAGTTTAAATGTTTCCCTATCCCCCCCCCCCCCCTCCCCCCTCTTCCTCCCCCTCTCTCTCCCCCCTCACCCTCCCCCTCTCCCTCTCTCTCCCCCCTCCCCCTCTCCTCTCTCCAGGCCTATGTCTCCTAGTTGTAGTAATTATGTATGTAGTCTGGACCCAAGTACTGGACTTTCTGGAGGGCTATGCTGCCCAGCGACAACACTCCTCTCAATGTCCAACAGTCTACCACCTCAGCGTCCACTACGGCCTCTCCTTCCTGTTTGCTCCCGTCTCCGTCTTCTTCTTCCTGCTGGCTGCACTGCTCTTCATCCTGATTGGACAAACAGTGCAGACGTGCCATCACAAAGTGCCAGTGTAGTGACAGAGGGGGAAACAGCCAGAGAGGAAGTTGGGAATTAAACCATACGGTGACTCCTGTGCCATAAAGGCCCAGACCTCTATGTTCAGTCTATAACAAGAGCCAGTAGTGACTGATACCGTGGTCAACTCTCATGGGACTCACAGAGTAATACATATGTACTATATTAAATACATTTGGAATAATCAACTGTGATTAACTTTGAATAAAAAAGCATCAGTCTCTCTCATTGGGAGTTGTGACTAAATTTGATTCCACTGCTTCTTTGCAACCAGATCTGGACTCTATCAGACAGTCCAGTCATGGAGGGTAATGAATTAGATTGTCATTATCTATTGGGATAATCATGATGGACGGGACAGCGGGTTCCTAATCAACTGTAACACATCTGAATGAAACTATAGCTGTGTTCCACTAGCACCACTAGAGAGCAGTGTTGCTTTAACGGTAGTAAAGTAGGAAAAAGACACGCTGTTTACAGTATTTCTAACCCAAATACTTCAAGCCATCTCAGAGAGCTTATATCGTTTCAATGGGAACAGACGTATCACAGCGAATGTGAAGTTGCATCGTTCATATTTGATTACAGCAGAGGGATTAAAAAGGGGAAAGAAGAAATATGTGAGATAATTTATTCAATTGCCTTTTTTTTTTTTACCAAACAAAAGATAATATATTTTCAGTTTTTTTCCTTCTTCTGTACAGTATGGTTAACTCCATATTAAAGTAACTGATACAGAAAGCCCACCATCACACCTTTATAATTGGAAAAGGCAAACATTATGAGTTCTCTCTCAGTGGCTAGGGCCTGAGACAGTAAGACAATGATGAGATGAGGCTGACTGGGGGAGGAAAGGAGGAGAGGAGAAGAGGTGAAGTGTCTCATCAGTGTGTTTTTCTTTTCTTTTAATGTCTTTCCTCCTCCCTTCCTAATCTGAGCTGTGAACAAGGTGAGTGTAATTACACCTGAGCTTGTCACATTCACTTCTGTGCCCCCCCCCCCCCCCCCCCACCCCCCCACCCCCTACCTACACCCCCCATCACCACCCGCCTGCGTTGAACCCACACCGCCACGAGCTGCTCGTTTTAAAAGGGAGAGATTTTAATGAGAGCCTGATTCAGTCATCTCTTGCTTTCAATCTTTTATTTTTCAGAAAAAGAGATTCTGTTGGCAGATTCATTTCCAGTATGTGACCCCCCACCCCAACCCCCACCCACCCCAAAATCCAACATCCTCCAGATTCAGTGTTATGTGTCACTGTCACCCAAGGATTGCTCACACACTGCTGTTGGTCCCCTCTTGTCACCTGGGTCTCTGTCCCTGAGAGATGGGACTGTCCACAACAATTACTACAAGAGCAATAAAGTCTCTCTCGCTCTCTCTCTCTCTCTCTCTCTCTCTCTCTCGTTCTCTCATTCTCTTGTCTTGCTCTATCAGTTCAATTCAATTCAAGGGGTTTTATTGGCATGGGAAACATATGTTTACATTGCCAAAGCATGTGAAATAGACAATAAACAAAAGTGAAATAAACAATATAAAATGAACAGTAAAAATTACACTCACAAAAGTTCCAAAGGAATAAAGACATTTCAAGTGTCATATTATGTCTATATACAGTGTTGTAATGATGTGCAAATAGTTAAAGTACAAAAAGGGAAAATAAATAAATATTGGTTGTATTTACAATGGTGTTTGTTCTTCACTGGTTGCCCTTTTCTTGTGGCAACAGGTCACAAATATTGCTGCTGTGATTGCACACTGTGGTATTTCACCCAATAGATATGGGAGTTTATCAAAATTGGATTTGTTTTCGAATTCTTTGTGGGTCTATGTAATCTGAGAGAAATATGTGTCTCTAATATGGTCATACATTTGGCAGGAGGTTAGGAATTGCAGCTCAGTTTCCACCTCATTTTGTGGGCAGTGTGCACATAGCCTGTCTTCTCTTGAGAGCCAGGTCTGCCTACGGTGGCCTTTCTCAATAGCAAGGCTATGCTCACTGAGTCTGTACATAGTCAAAGCTTTCCTTGATTTTGGGTCAATCACAGTGGTCAGGTATTCTGCCACTGTGTACTCTCTGTTTAGGGCCAAATAGCATTCTAGTTTGCTCTGTTTTTTGGTAATTCTTTCCAATGTGTCAAGTAATTATCTTTTTGTTTTCTCATGATTTGGTTGGGTCTAATTGTGTTGCTGTCCTGGAGCTCTGTGGGGTCTGTTTGTGTTTGTGAACAGAGCCCCATGACCAGCTTGCTTAGGGGACTCTTCTCCAGGTTCATGTCTCTGTAAGTGATGGCTTTGTTATGGAAAGTTTGGGAATCGCTTCCTTTTAGGTGGTCGTAGAATTTAACGGCTCTTTTCTGGATTTTGATCATTAACGGGTATCGGCCTAATTCTGCTCTGCATGCATTATTTGGTGTTTATGTTGTACACAGAGGATATTTGCATGCGAGTCTGATCTCCTATAGCTAGCTCGATCTCTATATATCGCTTCTCTCTCTCTCGTCCGATCTCTCTATTATATATCCTCTCTATCCTCTCTCGATCTCTCATCTCTTCCCTCTCCCATCCTCCCTCCATTCCCTCCCTTCTCCCTGAATGAAAATAGGTGGATCAAATGTAAGTCACATGACAGATTACAAAATGGAGACGATTGTTTTCAAGTTAAATGTATTTTCTACAAATACTCCTTAGCTCTTTGGTTGGCCCTGGACAAGCAGCAAATCAATACTGCATTTATTTGGCTTTTGTCGGGAGTTGTAAATCACCCTCACATATTATTGGGTACAATCATGACATAGTTCCCCTCCCTCCTATCCTCCACATCCTCCCTAAACACACCCTGTCCTCCCAGTTGGTTTGGTCCACTCAGCCCAGGGCCTCAGGGCCCACCCAGGGGCCACAATTATTCATCCCTTTGCTCAGCCAAGTAGAAGAAATTACCCTCTCTCCCGTCCAGGACCCTTTTAAACCGAAAGGACCCCCGGCTGAAGCCCCCCGCCTGGTACAATTTTGACCCCCCGGTCCAGTTCCCCAAACCCCGTGTTTTCCAAAAAAAATTTAGGTGGGCGGTTTGGCCCTGTTTAGTATCAAAAGCCCCTTTTGTCTGTTGGTTTTGGGTCGTGGGTTTTTAGCTGCAGGCGTATTTTTAAGTCCCTCGGGGGAGGGAAAAATGAACTAGGAGCGGGGAGGACACAAAAATTTTTTGGGAATGTGGGTGTAAAAATTTAGGGAAGAAAAATCCAACTTCAAAATCCGCATGGATTAGCGATATCCCTAAAGGGAGAATAATCTTTTTTTATCACTTGTGGACCCTTTTCACTAAATGTCCTACATTTTTCTTCCTGGCACCCTTTTTACATCTCCCTTAAAAGGCTTTTTAAAACGGGGTTTTTATTCAGCCCCCGGGGGGACAGGCTTTTACTTTTGTCGAAAACCCCTGAGGCGGCGCGCGGAAACCCCGGCGAGGGGGAAAGGGAAGGGGGGAAGGAAAACACGGAAGGGGGCCCCCCAAAAAAAGACTTAGATCCCCTTAACTCCCTAAAAATATCCAAATTTTTACCGATTTTATCTCCCCCCCCAAAAACCACCTTTTCCCCACCCCCTATTCCCTTTCCCCCCTTTTAAATTTTCCGGTTTTCGGTTCCCATTAGGTCGGGTTTTTTCTCTGTTGGCCCTTACCCCGATTCCCTTCTTTCCCCCTTTCCTCCCTCCCTTTTTTTCCTGTCTCCCTTGCTTCTTTCCCCCGGGGGGTCCCTAAGAATCCCCCCCGGAAAAAAAAGGGGGCTTTAGAAATGACAGGCCCTGGAGGATGTGGGGCTTTTGGTGGAGGTCCAAAAGGAAAGAGAAGGGGAGGGGAAAGAGAAGGGCAGGAAACCTTTTTGCCTTGGTTTTTTACCTTCCAAAAAATAACAGGAAATTACCCCCCCCCTCCTCCATATCCCCCCCCAAAACCCCCCCGGGGGGGGGGGGGGAAAAAAAAAACCCCCGTAAAAAAAAAAAAGAAGAAGGAAAAAAAAGGGGGGGGGGGCCCCCCCCCCCGGGGGGGGGCCCCTCCCTTTCTTCTCTCTCCTTTCTCTTTGTTAAAAATTCTTCACAATTCCTTTTTATTTCAACCTTTTTATATTCCCCTTTTGCCTAAAACCTTTGTTCCCAAAAACTCGTCGTGTTACGGGTCCCTTGTCATCCTTTTCTTTGACAGTCCCTTTCACCTCTCCAGGAGGAGAATGACTTGTGAGCACAAATACCTGACTGTGGAGCACTTATCATTAGGAGGGGAGGATGAGCCTGAGAGACGACGGCTTTTCTTCATCTGTCCCTCTCTCATCCTCCTTCCCTCTCTTCCTCCCTCGCCCCATCCCTCTCTTCCATCGGACACTATTCCATTAGGTCAATGTGTAGATTAGAGTTAGATTATATTTAGCTAGTTTTCAACACCGCCACCTCCTTCACCCTCACCTCCTCCTTGGAGACCAAAAGGGGCATAAGCCTGATCCTTTTTCTCTCTCTCTCTCTCTCTCTCTCTCTCACTCATTCCCATTTCTCTTTTTTTTCCCCTCTTCCTCCCTCTCCTCCTCCTCTTCCAAAGAAAATGATCAACACAGTGTACTGGAAGAGAGAACGGGTGAGAGAGAGAGAGAGAGAGAGAGAGAGAGAGAGAGAGAGGGTGGGTGGGAGAAAAATATATCTTTCATCCATGAACGCTTTCATCTCTTTTTTCAAACTGAGGGAATTATCAGTGGTGCTACTGATACAACCTCTACTAGGGGGAAGAGAGGAGCGAGGGAGGAGTGAGGGGGGGGAGGTGGTGGTAATTTAGGTGGCTGTCGATACAGAGATGGAACGCTCTTCTCATCTCAGTATTGGTTGGGGTCCATGTCGGATCGAGAATTGTGATACAATAAAAACAGAATGGCACAGGGTACATGATCATTGGCGTAGGTCATAGGTCATAGGTCATAGGTCGGCACTCGGCAGGTCTTCTCTTTTTTTACATGAAAAAATATTGAAGTAACTCAAAAACCAAAAAAACAAGACAAAATAAAAAACATTGCCAAAGAATATTATTAATCCACCCTCCCAAAAATGGAACCAAAACCAAAAAATAAATGACATTTCCCTCTTCTGTGATAGTTACTTGGCTTGACTTCTAATCTTGACTGTTCCAAGTGTTTTTTCATTAAATTTGTGTCAAGACTAATTTCGAGGCAAATGAATACAGATGTCAGGATTCCATCAAATCCCATCGTGGGCCCCATAATGAGATAACAGGCTTTAGTCAAAGCATTAACGCTATTGAAAAAATGAGAT